ATTCTTAGTACAGTAAGATTGTTGACAATTATGTGTCAACTTGTTTAACAAACACTTGTTTGTTAACTACTAATTAAAGCATTCTTAAAAACACCTGTCAAAGCATTGTAATTTTCCCTAGTATACGTTGTTCAATATTCTGATGCAGATAATATTCTTTGCATGTGGGCGTATTAATCTATAAATTAAATTAATAAAGAGATAAAAATGTACTTCATTTATAAAGGAAATAATAATAAAGGATAATAATGAAGGAGAAAAAAGTGTTTATGAATTACAATTTATTATAAGCCTTAAATTGCATTAAGCCTAAAATACTCAGTATTGAAAAGTTTTAAGGAAAAAAATCCCCGTTAATTTTTTTATTTTATTATAATTGTATTAATTATTCTCAATAATAGAATAGCATACATTTAACTTTATCGCTTCAGTTGCAAAGTAGAACAGTTTCAAAATACTAATGTTTAACTTTGACTACTTAAATTTGTATTTTTCTAACCATCATTTCATAATAATACCCTTTATTCGATTTTCAATTATTGCCTTAAAATGAAAAAAAAATTGGGAATCGGAAAGAAGAAATATCATTTCGAAACATTTTAAATGAGTTATTTAGTACATTGTTTCATCTCTAAGTAGCGATCACTCTGGATTAGACATTATCGCTCTACATACTCAGGTGCTCCTCGCGAATTTCTGAAATATTTTTGTGCATCTTAATTAATATGATATTAATTAATATATTATTTCCATTTGTGGTTTTATTCTCAAAGTTTCTATCAGTGCAATTGCCAAATTAAACAGAACCAAGTTGCGATTAATATTTACTTTTTATACGTTTATTTTTCAATCCGCATCTGTTACAATTACTATTACAATTTCAGCAATTAGAGAATGAGTTGAATGAATTAGTAATTTTGGCCTAATAAAGATATGTGTAAAAAATAGTTCGTGGTACTGCAGACCCCTTTTTTATCAAATTATTAATATCCGGCTGAAACTTCGTAAATAGATAAACTCATCGTAGCCTATAAATATTTTATTTACGACAATTCTCGGAATAGGGGTTCAATCCAGAGGTCGACAAACTTTGTCTATTTAATTAGGTGTTAAAAACTCGTAAATGCCCATTTGCTTTCCATTTTAATCGTAAGATAACTTGAGCACAAAGTCGATAAACAAAAGGTGGCCTTCAAAAATATTGAGCCAATTGGAGTGAGCTACTTCCCCCAATTGTCAAAATAACGAGATTATATAGGCCAAACGGCTCAATATTTTTTGAGACCACTTTTTTTCTCGACTTTATCCCCAAGTTATCTTACGATGATCTAGTTAAAAAAATAACAATAAAAAAAATTACATTATTTCTTCCAGTAAATATACTCTACCATTTAGTACGTCAAATTAAGTAAAATATAAGGGAATATCTAGGTGAAAACCCCATGTTCAGATAACTGAACGTTTTATTCCACTGTGCGGCGTCTTTTACAAATAGCGCCTTCATTAAATAAAATAAAGTCCGGAGTGTCACCATATATATACTTTTTTTTTTTGGAATAACTAAAGCGGACCTCCGGGCCAATAAAAAGTGACCCTTCCCAATAGGAGCGGGAAGAAGGTAACGAATCCATCGGACCATAATAAATCTGCCAGTGCAAAAAGCTACCGTCGGAGGAAAAACTCCCTCACCTTCACGGCCTACTGTATCTTTTTCCACGGCTGCATAAATAACAGATACGTGAGTGTCACGGTGCACAAGAACTGGCCGGGTGTACCTTCCTCATTTGTTTCCTCCCTTCACCGAACTTTTTCACATCACGGCTTCCACCATCGAAGGCCTTTTTATTTTGTTATTCCTTAGGAATATTATCAACATTTTCTCAAATGGAGACCAGATTGTTTTTTTCTAGTTTCTTGGGAAATTTACAACTTATTAATAATCGTCACACAAGTATTAATTTTTTTATACAAATAAACAATCGTAGGAGAAACGCGAAATAGGAAAATATAAACATACATATTAAAAAATTTTACTTTCACTTTTATGTGAAAAATATAGTCAGAAAACGTATCACAATCGTGAAAATTTTCGAATCTGAATTTTCAACAATATGTCCAGTCATTTGTTGACGGAATGTAGTCGATTCCAGAAAAAAAATCTTGAAGGATCTGGGTTTGGGATGTTGAATCTGAAAATCTAGTTATCTAATAGATTCAGATATGGCTTCATCATAAAAATGGCTAAAAAAAAAGCTCGTTAGCAATTTTCGTTTGTCGGCTAGAGCGCCCTGAAGATTGATCATATCTTTCAAGTTAGTACGGGCTGGTTCCATTTTTTTTTTCAGACAATTTTATTAGCTTCCTTTTTGCTATAAGTGATTCTTCTCTATGATGTGTCTTTTCAGAGTTATAAGCGAAAAACTAAAACATCTTCCGAAATTTTATGTTTTTTTACCATTTTTATGTTGGAGCCATAACGAAATCTAGTCGATAACTTGATATTTAGATTCAGTCCCCCAAAATCGGGAATCGAGATGTGGTTTATCCGGATGTTAGTAGCCCCTCTCAGGTTCGGTCAGAAATAACCTGCTGACTCCGATAACAGTGCGCCTGCTGACTCCGAGCAGTCATAATCTATGGATCTAGACCGATTTGTCACTGTTCTTGAACCCGAGTGAGTCGGTGGGAAGGACACTGCCAGATTGGTGCTACGGGTGGCCGGTGCACCATGGAGATCATGGTTCGTAGCAAAGTCAGGTTAGGTGACCTCCTCCAGGCTATTTGAGCTCCCGCAAGAAAATACGTCTGTAAGGAGACCAAATCTCGCGGCCAAAGACCTTCTTGGTCTGTAGTGGCAACCGAAAATATATATATATTTTCTCTATATTGAAAAAGGCGATAAAGGGCAATACACAAACGTTAGGGTATTAACTCTGCCTAGAATCCTTTATCATCAATCAACTATCATCAATCAACTATCATCAATGCTTATATTAAAAAGACTCAGAGCTAACTCCAACATTTTTTTACAAGATTATCATGTGGATACGAGAAATTCACCACTAATCAAATTTTTATAATTTGATAATCTAAGGATAAATGTTTTGAGTTTAACATGGATTCGTATCTTATTTTCTCAATTACAAACATTCGATAGCGTCAACAAGAAAATTTTAATTAATATATTATATAAAAATAAAGTGCGGTTTAAACTGATAAACTAATATATATATATTCATGAAACATACCAATTGGGATAATTACTCGAGTTACCCTACGATTGAGCTTTTTTAGAGAATCACCCATAAGCACATTCAATTATTGTACCTTATTTACTTCCATTCTCTTATATATTATTGCTAATAGTAAAAATCAGAATAGAAAAATGTCTGTAGAGCCTATACTGTGAAATATTTTTTAAATAAAACAAAATAAATAATTATATTGAAAAGTTATAATTTATTTAATAAACACGTTGTTTTTTTTTTTACTTCTGATATATATATATATATATTATAACGCCCTTCATTGATAATGTTATTGATATTACTGTGTTTCATCCTCCATTTGCAGTCAACACACAGAGATGATTAAGTTCAAAATTCATCTATCTTATCTTTATAGTTAAATAAAAAATTTAGAATTTTTCAGAGGTATGTCTATTACTGATTTATTGATTTATCGATGTCAATCACTAGTGCAAAAAGGAGTTTTGTAAAAGTGGATATTATAACTGCATAACTGAATATTTTTTCAATTATAAAGTGCTCAATCAAAAAAGAATCCAAATGTCCAACGGAGAAGTTTATAGCTAGAATGATTACGGCGTTATAAGCTGAAAAAGACAAAAAAATTCCTTAGCTATGTCCATCACTTGTACGCTTACCCTGCACATAATAAATAATGTGTTAATTAACAATTATAATTAAACATTGATTCATCCTAATTGGTTATACCATTAAAAGTAATTACCCGGCTGTGTAATTTAATATTTTATAAATGAACTCGACATCGATTAATATGATTAATAATCCAGAATTATTATTTAATTTATAATTAGTAATAATAGCTGATTGGCCGGTCGCTAAGTGTATGATGAGATTGTTTTGGCCTAAGCTTGAGCAGAGGTTATGGGCAAAATCCACTTAAAATTAATTGGGAGGCACTCCATTGGCTGAGTGCCTTCAACGGCTGATATTTTGCCGAACCACTTTTATCGAACCCTTCCCTAAAACGGCTAACTTAATTAACCAATACATAAACTGCCTTATTAAGCTCTATGGTTAATTAGCCTATTTTCACTACATCAATATCTCCTCCACGGATACTGATAATTAAATTTTAATTTTAAATGTTGTTTAATTGGGATAATAAGGTAGCTGTATAAACCTGGCTAATGTTTATTTATGCTTTCCACTTAATTAATGAAATAACTGAAGATTTCAGTACCCAATGAAACATTTTATGAATCATTAAATATGATAGACTTTATTGTTTCTTAGACCGTATTAAGAATTTAGTACTCATTTATTATAAAGAAGAGTTTTATAACATCTTCTGAGAGGAGTAAATATTACATCTCAATTTTCAAATGGTTTTAAAATTACCTAATACACCTTTTTTTAAAAACAAAGTTTATAATATAAAAAAATTAAAATGTTTAAACCCTTAGAAATATTACAAAATCCTTTATTCAATGCTTGTCATGTCATCATTTCATGTATCGCCATCACATTTGCTGATTGTCAACAATAAGTTGACATGCGCAAATACATCTTTTATAGTAAAAAAAAAAATGTGTTTACTTTAAGATTAATGCATACAGCCGCTTCAGTTTGGCCTCCATTCCTCTTCTCTTCTATCTGGATCCTACCCTAACGTGGGAATAACAGTTCTTCAAGCCACAAAAAAGTTCTTGACGTGCAGGCAGTTCAGTTTGATAAACATTAAACTGAAAGATTGCATGATCTTCAACTACTTTTTCTTATACCTTTTTTGATATGCAGTATTTTGTTGCAGGTGAAGGTACCGTACCGCTAGCAGTGCCGACTCAGGCCAGCGGGCAGCTGGTCCTTGAAACTGGAGTCGAGTGCGACCGAGACAACTGTCTGGTCAAGTCGGCCTTCCCGCTGCGGCTAGTGGGGCCTGTGCGTGACGTCATCATCAGGCCCTGGAGTAGGTACTACAAGCCGGGGGAGACAGGTCAGTCTTGCATTATAATATATAGTGTGCATTATAATTGATATAAAAGTTATTATTATGTCTATAATTTACTCTTTAAAATAAAATTAAAAATACAAAGAAGGGTAGGCAGCAATTTGTAGTCAAAGTGATTCATTGATTTAAACTATCTTTTTTTTCCGGCGATAGTACACCCAAAAATATTAGACATATGTCTCGACGTTCATTTCAATGGACCCTAGCAACCGAGATAAAAATATATATTATGTAATTTTAAACAGAATATATGTTATTTATGTTCGCCTTTGCTTTGCTCGGAGTTTTAGGTTATTATGTATCATACTCCTTCTTAAGATTTGGTCATGTGTCCCACCTTCACGACGTAAAGAATGTCACCCTTTCTTTCTTTCCGCCGACCATATTTTCTTGGGTCTTAACTATTCCAAACAATCAACAACCAGATTTCCGGCGGCAATATTTACTAGGTTTATTCCTTTTCCTAACTTTTACAACCAAAAAGCCATCTTACCTATTGAATTGTTTACTCCTTGTTCCTCTGTCCATTCGTTTAACACGAGATTCCAGTCCATAAATATTTTTTTCTTTTCCAATCATAGAACCAATTCCTTTAAAAATTCCCATTTCATGCGTGGTACCTTTTTTTGGGATTCTCTACCTGTCTCACTACGCAAATCCTCTTCCTTAACCTCATTTAAACAACATTAATTCTTTCACCTCCTTAGTAATCAATCTTCCGAGTACATGTAAGAATAAAATTTCGTATTAATAAAGAGCTGTCACTCTCTTTTGACTGTTATGTTATTATTACTTACATATCATCAATATTGTTAATCCGAATGTGTTTATCAATATGTACATACTAATATGTTTACTCTTACTTAATTTATTTGAATTATAAGGTTAGATTATTATGTTGTTTTAGCTAACATTTTTTTTTTCTTTTTTTATAATGCCAGAAAATTGTCATCTTTTTGCACAATAACATTACTCTAAGAGGACTAAATATTCCTTGTCCTTATCCAAATACAATCTTTATCAAATCTCAAAATGACGCTGTGCAATCATGAAATAAATTTTATGAATCGAATTTCGACTGAAGATAATGGTTATTTAAATCATCTGTTTTAATTATAAGAATCAACTCATTGTGTATTTGTGTATTTCTCGTTTTATTTTTCCTGATTTATTTTTCCATTTCATTTCAATTATGTTTTTGTTTTTATCCAAAATGTTTTTACTTTCTGTTGTTTAATTTTTATTAGTGTGGTTTTTGGCCAGATATGGTTTTGTTTTTTGTATGTAATTGTTATTATTAAGAAACTTTGTCCCAGAATAAAGTTTACAATCTATCTATCAATTGATACCTTCTTTTTTTTGGCTGAACAAGATGTGTCATAAATTACTCAAATCAAAATTCGCTTTCAGGAGAGTAGGCCAAGTAAATTTATGTTATGAAAAAGAAAGTTAGACGTTTTTAGAGTCTTTTGAATACTTATACAAAATTAAATTGAAAAATTAAAAAATTGAATACATGATTTTCCTATTTTTTTTTTTCCGGCCGATAAACAAAGCATTCATAACTTCTCACGATTTTCTCCAAATTTAGCGTTAGTACAATCCTTGAAAAGATGAATTACTTATTTTTCTTCCAACATTGATAACTTTTATATTTTATTTCCTTTTAAACCGAAAGAAAATTAATTGAAACTGATGACTTATTGACTGTATCTCTCCTTGTAGGTTTAAACATAAGGATATTCATAAATATACTTGGACGTCACCGGAATCCTAAACATTTTTTTTTTAATTTATTTATGACATTTACAACTGTATTACATAAATACGTCAAGTAAATTTGGACATAGTTGATATAATGGCATGAATAAACTTGCTGAGTAACTACCCAATGGTAGCACTCTAATGATATGACTATATTAGGAGATCACGGGGCCATCTTCTTTTCAGACGCCTCGGAGGGTTATCAGGAATTGAAGAGGAAGCAAGGTTAGAAACGAGAGGGTTGGGATGATTCTGAAGTTTATTATGGAAGGATAGGTATCTGGATTGGGCCAGATCTGAAACATAAGAACATTAAGATCTTTATGGATAGTTTTATTAGTGACAAAGTAAGGAGCATTGAGGATTTTACGAAGGATTTTGGATTGTAAGAATTGGATGCGAGAGGAATTCGATGGTTTAGTGGAACCCCATAGCTCAACTCCGTAAGTCCAAATAGGTCTTATTATAGTCAAGTATATGAGTCTTCTGTAATTAATGGGAAGTTTAGAACGTTTGTCTAGTAAGTGCTGAAGTAATCGGAAACGTCGAGCGGTTTCTTGTCGTTTCAGTCTAGTATGAGGATTCCAAGTTAGTCGTTTGTCCAGGTGGAGTCCTAGGTATCGGATTTGCTCAACAGGGATAAGTGGAGTATTGTTAAAGGAAACTGTAGGACAGGAAGTCGTTGGTTTACGACGAAGGGTAAAGGTAATTTTGTGGGATTTATTGGAGTTTATTTTAATTCTCCAGTTTTGACACCATTCTTCTAGATTTATGATGTGTGATTGAAACATTTGGGATGCAATTGCTGGGTTATTGTTTACTGATAGGATACATGTGTCATCGGCATATGTGGTGATGACAGTGTTGGGACAGGTAGGGATGTCAGCTGTATAAACTGTATAGAGGATAGGACCTAGGATACTACCTTGAGGAACACCAGCGGACTGGAATCCTAAACATGAAATTAAATCACGTTTAAATACAATACAGGTGGCAAAATAATTTAATCAATGTAGGTCCTTACCGCAAGACACTTCATGAATTAATAATCGCGAAACTACAAAAAAAAAAAATAAAGAAAGAAAGAGAAAATAAAATGGTTCCGATAAGAGAACATTTGTATGAAAAATTAAAAAAAAAATCTATCAATAAGAACTCAATTCGAGCTAGAAGTTATATATAACTTTAAAGTTTTATAACCTTCTAACGAGGGTCACGATGATATATATTTATTGATACAGTCAGGTGTAATTTTAAAGAAGTCGGTAATTCCTGTCTTGGGAATAGGGAAAATTAAAGGAGAAAGCATTGCTTCGATGAAAATTTTCTGGACATTTGCGAAAAAAACAACAAAAAAAAACACTAAATTAATTATTCTAAATAATCCTAGTGAATGCACTCTTGCGCACTACTGGGCCTTAAAGAATGAAACAAGTCGATTGATAATTTTTTATCTTATTAATTTATGTTGTTATGTAAATAATTATATAATTGTATTGTAGATTTTTTTCAGTTAGATTATTCACTCTTGTTAAATTTACTGGATATATCTTATATGCGTGTGTTTTTTTTTTCCCAAGTTCTTCCTACCTCGCCAACCTCCAGGCAACGTAGAATGGCAGGTTCTTCCTGCTTTTTTAATGCATTCTCCAGGCTCCGTTTCCTCTGTGCTTGGGGAATAGCTCTATGGTGTAGCTTTAGCTTCAAACCTTTATTTTATACACCAAGAATTTTTCACTGGCTTCAGAAATATTGAATGGACCGAAATAGTTGAGTTTCCAGCTACTTTTCAGCGAAAAATAATAGTTGCAATGCAATATACATCCATCATCAATGATTTTTTTTTTTAATAGTTCATGAGATCTAGTTTTGTATAAACTCGATTAAGATTATTTTTTCTTACACTTCACATTCTTCAAATACATTTTGAAAAATAAAACTGCCTCTTCAAGCATAAAATGTAATATAAGTAAGACAAAGTCGGCTGACCATATTTTATCGGTCTCAAAAGTACGGGTTTGAGGATTTCCAGTCTTTGATTTGAATTTTTTTTTATTATTTCTTAATGATATTTATAACTGTATTAAATAAATACATCTAATACATTTGAACATATGGATATAGTGACATGAAAACACTTTCTGAGTAACTACCCAATGGTAGTACTCTAATGATATGTCTACATTAGGAGATCACGGGGTCATATTCTTTTCAGACGCCTCGGAGGGTTATCAGGAATTTAAGGGAAAGCAAGGTTAGAAACGAGGGGGTTGGGATGGTTCTGAAGTTTATTAAGGAATTATAGGATTGGGCCAGATCTGAAACAAAAGAAACATTAAGGCCATTTTGGATGGTTTTATATGTAACAAAGTAGGGACGATTTTACGAAGGATTTTGGATTGTAAGGATTGGATATGAGAGGAATTCGATGGTTTAGTGGAGCCCCATAGCTCAACTCCGTAAATCCAAATAGGCCTTATTATAGTCAAGTATATGAGTCTTTTGTAATTCAGTGGAAGTTTAGAGAATTTGTCCAGTACTGAAGTGCTGAAGTGATCGGAAACGGATTCTTGTCGTTTAAGTCTGGTATGAGGATTCCAAGTTAGTCGTTTGTCCAGGTGGAGTCCTAGGTATCGGATTTGCTCAACAGGGATCAGTGGAGTATTGTTAAAGGAAATTGTAGGACAGGAAGTCATTGGTTTACAACAGATTTGAATTTAAAACAAAAAAAAAAAAACTTAATTTTCTCCGGTTAATTTTTACAATGAAACCGTTTTGTATTTTTCTGATTAAGCAGTGATTCAGTATTTTTTAAATTGATATTTGTATTAAATAATATCATTCTTAAAAAATTGATTATTAGATTCAAAGTAGTCCATGCAGTGAGGTATTGTGTGGACAAAATATTTATATGCGATATTAATACGTGTTTTAAATATTCGTAATTTCCTATCTCGAATATCTACTTCCTTATTATTCATTTCGGAATTAATATTTATTTATGTATTAGTGACTACTACATCTCGCCCACATATTCGATAGCAATGCGACTTAAGTTGAGGCAATGCGTAAGGTAAAGCAACCGTATATTTTTTTTTCTCTTTTCTCTGATGTTGTTTGCAAATATATACATATATTACGATAAGTATATATCGTACCGAGCAATATTTACACATTTGTAAATATTTAGTTAATAAAAGATGAAGTAAGGTAAAAGTATGCTCTGTTATTTAGATACAGACTAATATTACAGATAATCTAACTATAATATTACATTATCATTTATTAAAGATATTTTATTTAATTTCTGAAGCTTCATATATGTCTAAGACTGTTAAAGTAACAATTTACTGAATAAGTAATTAGCTTGTCTCACTGGAAAATATCTATCCAGTTTATAGTTAGGCTATAGATATCGATAACTATAGATATATAATAAAATATAGATATCGCTGAACTTGTTCTAAACCATTTTCGATCAAACTCAAAATATCTTCGTCTGATGCCAAAGAGGTTTAGTTTGTACTTTTCGCTATCATTAAATGTATAAAAGTCCATTACTGAGGGTATAGAAGTCATACTAGAATAGATTTTATATTTTTTAAAAATATTTTTTAAAAACCTTTTTCTGTATTATCCGATGTTTTCAAAGGATTATAGACATATTTTCATCCCTTTTAAACTGCTTTTTTGTTCACCGAAGGTTATCATAAATATCCTATTGATTTATACTGGGTCTTTTTTCCCGTGTGAAAATTATTTTTAAAAATTGATTCCCTCTCGACCCGTTAAGTTTTGAAACCTACAAATCTTTTCATTATTTTTCTTAGAATTGTAGGAGTCTAAGAATCGAAATTGGGATTTATCACTCTTCTATGAACTTAACTTTCGTTTGATATCTCATTCATCAAAACTCATAATAGAGACGAAAAGGGACCTATAATATTTTATTCATCGTATTATATGATAACTAACTCCAATTTAAATATTTTTGTGATTATTCTAGTGGAAAATTGTGTTTCAATTACAATTTATATTTCAACACTGCAATCACTGAATCATCTTACTCACTTTTTGTAACGATATTGCTATTTGTTCACCCCACAAAAGGGATAACATCAAATTTCCTATGTTTTGGGATAAACATTACTCGGGATGCGACTGGATAATTATATCTGATAATTATCCAGAATATTTTATAAAAGTTAATAAAAAAATAAAAAAACGAGAGTGGGGTAGCTCAGTGGTAGGGTACTGAGCTTCCAAAGCTTTTAAAGGTTCCAGGTTCAAATCCCGGCTCACGGCAGAAAAATTATTTATTCTGTTTCATTAGCCGTGGGGCAACCCTGGGTAGGTAGACCCTCCTGGAGCACACCCAGCCTCTATAAAATGGGTACCCTCAATTAAAATAATTGTTCAAGGGATAAAATCTGGCAGTTGAGCATGACCTCAGTCACATCACCTCCTTGCTCAACCGTAGACCAAGAAACAGTGATTTCTCTAAATAGAACTGAATCCAAGACACTTCACGGGTTGTGGTAGTATGGACTTTTTTTATTTTTTTTAATTTGTTTTTTTTAGTAAAAAAATCTGTTAAACAAATTTGAATCTATAATATATTTATTGATCAAGGATTAATTAATTGAATTTCTTTTCTCAAAGGCTAGTTTATGTTCATCATGCTTCCTAATTACTAACATTACCTGTGATAATCATTATATAAATGAGTGGCAGAATTAAAATAACTTGAGATTTATAATGAAATTTGAGTTATTCTGTCAACAGAAAATCTCATATGCATATACAGTCAAGATAATTATTTTATTTCCATAAATTATTGGGTAAAACTTTCTTTTAGAATATAAATGTTGAAAGATTTATTAAAATTTCATTCTTGATTCTGCACTAATTTTTTTTATGAAGCTGGTATTGGTAATTTCATGAAATCTACAATGTAGCATACTATGCGCTTATTTGTTGCTGCTGCTGAGTTTACGGTGTATACAAGCTACTTAAATTATAAACATGGGTATACCATTTGCATCCTGTTGGAAAGGGATGCATTGTTACACCTCCCCTTGAACAGGAAACAAGAGCAAGAATAGATTAATGAGAATGGAACGGTAGCCAGCAAGGAAATGAACAGAGCCTCAGAGAACCATCAGGGCCGTGTTTTCTGTCATCATCATAGCCGTGATTAATGGTTCTCTTCAGTGAATTAAACCATCACAATTTCCTGAGCCATCATCCTGCGGCTTATTTCAAGTCCCTGTCCGCATTTTATTTGCTGTCATTTATACGGTCTTAACTTAATTAAAGGGATCCCGCAAGGATCCGATTTGAGTACCGTGACGTTCCATTCATTTTTTTTTTTCAGGGTAACCATGACAGGCTCTTGATTAAGATGGAAATGTAAAACAACTATCTTTCATCAAAACCCGTTCCACCTGTGTGTCTGTTTCCTATTTAACATATCTGTATTTTTTTTTCTTCTTTGAAAAATCATTGAAATTTTATTTTGATAACAAATGATGGTAGAATAAAGACATTTTCGATTTAATAAATTATTATTAAAAGTTCATTAGGAAATAACCTTTTTGGTGAATGTTAAAATATATATATATATATATATATATATATATATATATATATATATATATATATATATATATATATATATATATATATATATATATATATATATATAATTATTTTTAAATGAACTATCATTGGAGCTAATATAGGCATTAATACAATCATTTGAAAATTGTCTTTAATAATTACTATAAGCTTTTCAACTGGATTCCTGCAGGTTTACTTTTCCTTCTACAGGACTGAGAAGAAATAAAACTAGCAGGACAATAAAACGAAAAAATGTGGGTAACTTAGTTTTCTGTAGCCTGTTATTGGAATCCTGTTATAGTCTTCTTCAGTATTCCCGGAGTAACTGCTCCAGGGCCCGCCAACTTTTTCAATATTTAGAAATAAGGGGAAGATTATTTTCTTCACCAGTGCTAAAGAAAAACTTTTAGGAGTAGGGAAATTTAATTCACGGCCTAAATCGCAAAAAAGGGTGTAGTCTCGTCCCTGGCATAAAGGAATTTATACCTTAATCTTGGAGATATTTCAGTTATATAAGGAGAAGGTTATGTGAGGTCTATAGTGTAATTGCCTATAGCTTTTGATTACGTATTTTCTAATTATTTATAGTGTTTTTTTTTGTGTTAATTGTTCTATTTCATAATAAGTTGCTGTTAGTTTGTTCATTAATTATGTTATTTTGTCGTTACTGTTCCTGTTAATTTCGTTTTATTGGTGTATATAGTTTTGGACTGTTAGGTTAAGTGTTTCTTTTAAGTGTTATTTCTGTAGTACGTTTTGTAAAGTTCTTCAGTAGTGAAATATTGGGTTAGACATTGTCGTACCTTAAGGTAAGTGTCAGTGTAAGACTCGTCAAGTTTATTTCACTATAACCTTTTATCTACTACTTAACATTTTTCCAGAAAATAGTTTTAAAGTATGTTAAGTAAAACTATTCGATCCCTTGGTAGCTAAAACTACCTTAAGCTTCCCTAGGAAGCCGAAAGACTCTTTAGGAAAGATAAGTAAGTTTTCTTTTATTTAAAGGTTACGTCACTTTTAATTTACTATGTTGAATGATAATATAGTTGAAGGAGTGGAA